CCCCCCCAATTAAAAAAAAAATAAATTTAAAGAAAAAACCTATAAAATCCCCCCTTCTCATACATCTTCATCACACCTCTCTCTAACAAATATCTCTTTATTACTATATATTCTCTCAAAAAAATTTATTATTTATTATAAATATTTATAAAATATTATTTAAAAATGGGTTCATCTTCCGACGATGAAAGAAGAGCTTTATTTTTTCGTTGTTTCGCGACGAATTGTATTCAATTGTGGGAAGATGGCCAAGAAGAAGCCGAATCCTCCCGACGACGGACCCGACGCCAACGCCTAAAACGTGATCGAGAGGCCTCCCACGCTTCACTTCTAAACGACTACTTTAATAATCCATGTGTTTATACACTGGAAGATTTTAGTAATCGTTTTCGGATGAGTCGTCCTCTCTTCTTAGTGATTTCTTTGTACTGTTGTTTTTTTATGTAATTTTTTTTAATGTTTTTTTTATGAATGTAAGATTTTTTTATAATGAATTTATTTTTTTATGCAATAGTGTCATTGCGATTAATTAAAATAATAAATTAATTTAAATTTATAAATTTAAATTTAGAAGATGTATATTTAAAAATGTAAAAAATGAAGGTTTGAAGCCCCAGTTTAAAGCCCCGGGGCTTCAAAACCATTTCCAGTGAATTTTGGGTGTAAGTTAAAGCTGACGTGGCAGAGAGAGAAAGTTTGAAGCCCCAGGGCTTCATGACCATTACCAGTGTTCTTAGCAGCATCGTGAAAAGGGCAGCCACTCTCCTTTTCGTACAGTTGTTTAATTAAGGAAATATTCCCCCCACCACCATTTGTCGACGTTTGACTTTTTTTGGTCAAAATTGGTAAATTCTGACTTTAAATTAAATAAAAGTGTTATTAGATATTGATACAAAGATAGTTTTTTTAGATTTATTATATAAAATATTCTAAAAATATTATTTAATGTAATTAATATACAATATATATTTTATTTAATTATAGGTCAATTGTTAAAAATGGTTTACTAAAAAAGTCAAAATTAAACAAATACTCAAGAACATAGGTAGTATCATTCAACACTCTCAAGATCATATTGGGCACCTTTGGTAAGGTTTTAAAAATTGCCAAAAATTGACTTTTTTGGTCAAACTGTGGCACCCTTTGACTATAATTTAAAAATAGTTTAAAATAATTAAATATTATAAAAATTTGATATTTCAAAACTTTATTTTAAAATAAATTTAATTTTACTAAATCTACATTATAATTGAATATATTTTTTTTCATAATTCGTGATCAAAGGGTGACACAATTAGACCAAAAAAGTCAAACTGTAGGAAGGAAGCAAATTTTTGATTTTTAGGAAGCAAATTCGTGATCAAAGGGTGACCACCCTCTTTTCCTCCACACATTTTTATTTGATTTTTATTTACTTATTTTTTTTAAATTTTTTTGTCTTTTTTAGTGGACAAGGAGGGGGTGGGAGACATTTGTGGTACACCTTTGGTGTACCCTAGCATTTTTCTTTTGATTATATGAAAGTTTTGGTCTGAGAATTCTTTAAAGAAAAAAAAAATATTCCCTTGCTAGAAAGGCCCATCCCTAGAGTTAGGGCTGTAAACGGATAGCCGAAAATCCGATTACCGTTCGCATCCGTATCCGTTTAAAGAGAAAATATCTGTATCCGTTTTAAACGGATATTATCCGTATCCGATTAAGGATATTCGATTACTAAACGGATACAGATCTGGTAATTGTATATCCGATCCATTTAAAATCCGATCCGAATATGCATCCGTTTAAATAACCGTTTATCCGAATATCCGATCCGTTATATATAGTTTTTCCTAATTTTTTATGTTTATAATTTGTTTCTCTATTGATATTTCAAAATATAAGACATTTTTATATACAAAATAAATGTGTAGACACATAAAAATAAATACAAACATATAAAAATATATGTATATGTGTGCTGTGTATATCGTTTTTATGTGTAGACACATAAAAATAAATACAAACATATAGAGTTCTAGTGAATTTGTCCGCCCAATTCGCAGGCTTTTAGTTTGGGTTCATCCTCTGAAAATGTGTACGAGTAAAATTAAAGGCAATTTTAAAGAGCTCTCGGACGTGATGGGCTAACTGACTTTGTCGTCCCCGTCTCGCCAACGACGGCAACTTTGTCGCTTTCCCTCCTTTTCAGCCGTCTATTGTGAGTAAATAGAGTACTCCTCTCATTTTCATTTAATTGTCTAATTCACTTTTTCGTATTTAAAGTTTGATCAATATCTTTTAAAAGTATATTAATAAAATATATTTAAAATAATATATATAATGTATTTTTTGATACTAATAATTTGGTATATTTTTTATATTTTATTTTATACAAAACGAATGGAGAATAAAAATAGGGGGTAGTTAAAACGGGACGGAAAAAGTATTTTATACAAAGCGAAATAAATACGAGTAGTTAAATATGAATGGAGAGTGTATGTAATACTTCTTCTGTCCCGTTTTAAATCATTCGTTTTGACTTTGAGCCATATTGAAGGAAGAGAAAAAGTAGAGTTGACTTTCCAAATTATCATTACTTTTTAGGAGTGGTGACGATGAATGTAAAGATAAGATGAAAAAGAGTGATTTATTTTAGAGGTAGTTTAGGTATTTTACTTTTAAAAGTTTACGATAACAAGAAACAGACAACTTATTTTGGAACGAAGAAAAAAGGAAAACATGCAATTTAAAATGGGACAGAGGAAGTATTAACTAAAAGTATAGTAATAAAATTTTAATTATTAATAATCCACCTCATGGTGTAAATTATCTCAACCAGAATGTCGTTCTTAGCCGAGCAAGAATAATAAATTAGTCTAACAAAATACACCAAAATACAAACACGTAGATTTTAACGAGGAAACTCAATTGAGAGAAAATCACTGGCCTTTTTTGGCGGCACCTTGCATGCCAACAGAAGATTTTTATTAATATTAGAAGTTGTACATTATACATAATTTAAGCACAGAAACCATTGATGGAAGCTTGCAAGCTTTGACAATTGAGAGAGAGAGAGAGAGATTTTGCAAGAGAGTGAGAGTTAGACCCCCCCCCCCC